AGAAATCTAATTTTGAAACGTTATGCGAAAAATGAATGAATTTTAACTTTAGTCATTACAAAAATTCATGTGTTATGATTGTATAAATGCATCATATTATGAAATTATAATAAAATTAATAAAACACATTAAATTCGAGTTTATTAATACATTCACAAGAAAATTTTTAAAAAAATTAGATATATTTTACATAAGTTTTCTTTAATAATAAATAATAAAAAGACAGAATTTAGAAATAGATTCTTCGATATAATAAAAGAAATTTTTTAAAATTTAAATTTATAAAATATATAATTTTCTTAACCAAAATACATTTTTTATTTAAAATAATGCTAATGCAATAAAAGTTGAGATATCTCTTTTTCCTGCTTGACTTTGAATTTCCTATTCCTCATCAATAAATTTTAATGATTTTTACGAATCAAATATCATAAGTATTGGCATTTAAAAGTAGAAGATTCATTAGATTCATTTAACTTTAATGTATTAAATATATTAGGATCTATAAATTTTTATAAATTTAAATTTTTAAAAGATTTAGAATTCTGTAATTAAATCCATATAAAAATAAATTGTTCCAGGAATATTACCTGAAGATTTCCCAGATTTTATTTCTTCTAATAAATCATGTAATCCATGAAGAGTATAAATATATCGGCCAAGATAACATGATTGAGGATGCAACTTACTTGAATGTGAAAATAATTCAAATAATTCTTGCTTTTGAGATTTTGATGTATTTCTTTGATTTTCATCAGCAATGTTAAGCTGTCGCATAAAATTATTATCCACTATATTATTCGAAAGTTTTTCAAATGCATCACAAAATAAATCAATTAATTCATTAACAGTAGGACGTTCAGAAGGATCATCACTCCAACATCGATACATCAAGTTTAAATACCATTCTGGAATCCAATTTAACATAAAATCAGGGACCTTTGGTCTTACACCATTGCATATATCAATCACCAAATAAGTATCATGGGCTTGGTCAGAAAATGGTCGTTGTGCAGTAATTATTTCATACATTATTCCACCAAAACTATAAATATCACCCTCTCTTGTAAATTCATTTCCCCTTAATACCTCAGGTGGAATATATGGAATTGAACCATAAATATTATTATTCTTGTTATTAGAGTTTAAAATTAAATCATTTTCTAATTTACCCAATAAACCTAAATCTATTATCAATAAAACTTCAGAATTACTACGAGGAATTTTCAAAATATCAAAAATATTTCCACTATGAAGGTCACAATGAACTAAATTCTTTGCATGTAAACCTTCAAGACAATGTGTTATTGATGATAATATGTCTAATTTTGTTTTCCAATCTAAATCCCAAAATTTTTTGGTTAAAAAATTATGTAAGTTATCATCAAATAAATCCATAACGATAATGTAGTTTTGTGTGGAAGGATTTTTTGAAATTCCATAATATTTAGCAATAAATTCATAATTATTAGTAACCTTTATCTTAAATATGATATGAAATATTAAAAGATAAATTAATAAATTACAAAATTTCAATAATTATTTATATTCTAAATATAAAGAAACACACCTCTTTAAGAAATCTAACTATATCATATCTAGAATCTTTTATTTCTTTCAAAGCAACTTTATGACCTATTAAATCATATTCCCAATCTTGTTGGATAAAATTCCAATTCCATTTTATTCCATTTTCTAATTTGGCAGAATACACTGATCCATGACCCCCATCTGCTATGTGTTCGATATTTTGAAAATTATCATAAGGTATCCATTGTAGACCATGCCTTTTGTTTATTTGAGAATCTTGTATAATCCCGTCAATGTTAGCATTCCCACTAGACCAAGTTTTAAATTCTTGGATAAAGTGTTCTTTAGCACATAAATCACATCTTGCATCTAAACGAATGTAATTTCTGCGATCAGAATAAGCGAAATCCTCAGAAGAATGACCTGTTGGACAATACTTAATTTTTCTTTTTTTTTGAGACATGGGAAACAAAAGAAATATTCGTAGTGAATATTTTTAACTTATAATTTATTGCCAATAATCATTGCCTTTTCTGGTTATATTTATTTGTGTTCAGATCCGACCAATATTTTCTTTATTTATATCAATCAATAATAAATAATATATGTTCCCATTTTTATTTGTGAAAAAAATTGATTTTTTTCTATTTCAACTCAAATATTAAGTATTATTGGGTTCAGGCAATTAAGCTTTATAAAAAATAAAAAAAATAAACATATTCGCTTCGCGTGATATAACTTGAAAGATTATATAATATACATAACATAATAGAATAATAGAAGAAATTGTATTTCGTTAACCTATAGTAATTTAGAGTAATTGAGCAGTGAAATTCTTTCAAAGTAATTTTTATAAGCATATAATGACATTTATTGGAGAAATAAATAGGAATAAACTGATAAGTATGCTAAATTCAGTCTAAATAAAATTTGCACTCTCGAAATTTTTTAAAAATAAATAAATAAATGAATTTATCTTTGTCAATAAATTCTCTCATATAAAATATAATTTAG